CTGTAAGGGTTACAGAGCACTGGAATACTGAAGAATATCAGTATTTTCTTCATGGTGGAAAAAGGCCTGTGTGGAGTTTTGGGTTTTGGGGTTTTTTTTTTCCAAGTGAGGTGTTAAAACAATGTTTGTTGTGTTTGCCCCAACAGAATTTTAGAGGTTCCCAAGAATTATTTGGCACTTCTTTTTCAAGAATTACAAGCCAAGCTGTATCCTCTTCTACATATCTTTTCTTTTTTTTCCTCAAGACTGTAAAGATGCAGAAGGACTAGGCCAAAACATATGCTCTCTTCTAGAACAATATACAACAGTATTCTTGGGCAAGAACCCTTAAACCATGTTTTCCTTTGTAGTACTACAGCTGGGCTGTATTATTGATTAAAGTGCAGAATCAATTGTAAAAAGCAACTTAGTAATAAAATAATTCCTCTTAGTTTTCACTCAGTACGTACTTAGATTGTTCCAGCATTATATGAATAGTATTTATTTGCAGGCCTTATATATTCATCCTTATTTAGCAGACAGGCAATCATAAAGATTAGGGCTAAGACAATTGTACATTTCTGAAGGGTAACTCATAAACGTGGCATCCCTGTACAACACAAATGTCAGTGATTACTTGAAAATAAGTCATTAGAGGTCATTGTTAGAAGTATTTCTGTAAGACTCTCTAGCAGCCAATGAAAGATTATTAGTCCCCAGTAGCTCCATCACTTGTGCTTTGTGCAAACTCTAAAGTTAAAGGTTATGAGTGGTATGGTACTCTGCAGGTGCACCATGAATAGTCTTTCACACGGAATGATTCTCATTTGTTAAATTTGGAAATGTACTTTCTCGTGGCCTTAATTTTTATATAGTTCTTCATATTCTAAATGGCAGCTGAAGGCAAGCAGAAATAGCGAGTAATTGATTTAACAACCTAAGACAAGTACAGGGAAGTAGAAAAGTTTGTCTTAGTGCTTGATGTGACCTGGGAGATCTTCTTTAGACTTTTTTTTCTAAACAGTACCTCAGCACCCTGGGCCAGCAAAGTGGCCTTTAAGCCTGAATGAGCATGAGTTGTTTTCTTTCTCAGTGCAAAGCTCCAGTATTTCGTCTTTTCAAACTGTTTTACAGCACTCAGAGCAGAATTATATTGACAAGGTTAAAATTCATCTCCTAGAGGACAATACTGTACTCCTCCTGTTAAGTGCTAATATAGCATTTATGTGTTGGTGCCTTAATAACAGCCCTGGCCAGCCTAATGAAAGTACTGAAAGCAAACAGTACTCAGTGAGATTTTATTATGACTGAAGTGACTGCAATTTAAGACAAATTATGCGTATTTTTGATCCCATATCAAAACCAAAAATGCTAAAGGAATTGCTACATTTGGTATAGAATTAGATTCCACTGTTGTTAATATACAAGTAAGTGCATTTTTCATGTAAACAGCTCACGAGGGTCAAGCATCTAAAGATATTCCATGTGAAGTGCTTGTCAATAACTTTGTGAGTGAATTTTGAAATAAAGTGCCTGTAACCTGTCATTATTTCCTCCTCTCAAAGTTGAGAGTAAGTGGATGAAAATGGAGCTTGTGAATTGAAGGCACTGTGAGTTATATGGCCTTGTTGACTTCGGGCAAAATGACTGGTTTGCCGTGTTATTATTTTTCCTTTCAGAGGCCAGGCAATGGACATGTCATATAGCCAATATATACTGTGGTGTAAGCAAATTGGTATATGAAAAAGTTATCTGTGTACACAAAGAAAATGGTGTGAGTCACTAATATTACAAATGTTTAATATATTGTCTCTCCATAAAAACGGAGGAAAAAGTTAAAAAAAAATCTGCTGGCCAGAATAAGTATTTCAACTTATTCGTTCTGTTATTTTGAACAGTTGTTCAAAAAAAGCCCCCATGTTCAGAGAGCTGATAAGTTAATATAAATTCATACTTTATGAGAGTAGGTATATCATAAAATGGGATTGCTTTCCATAAACAGACCTTGTTGTATATGTAATAGGAGTATGAGTATACACGTTTAAGTATGAGGTAACAGCAGAACTAAATGTGTGTGTTGGTTTTTGCTAGTATAGAAAAAACTTCCTTCATAGCAACTTATATGGTGCAATGGTTTGGATTTGTGACCAAAACAGCATTGGTCAGCACCAGGGGTTTCAGCTATTGCTGAGTAGTGCTTACAGAGCACCAAAGCCTTCTCTGTTTGTCACATTGTCCAGCCAACAAGTACGCTGGAGGTGCAGAAAAAGTTGGGAGGGGAGAGAGCTGAGACAGCTGGTATCAACTAACCAAAGGGATATTCCATACCATATAGCATCATGCTCAACCACAAAAACTAAGGGGAGGGGTCTTTGGGAAGTTAGCCTCAGTCTGCTGGTGAAAAGGTGTTAAGTAATAGCCTCTGCATCACTTGTTTCATTTTTCTCCTTTCTTCCTTTTTTTTTTTTTTTCACTTATTAAAATATCTTTATCTTGATCTACAAGTTTTCTCACCTGTGCCATTGGGAAGGGGAGGAGTAAGCAAGCAGCTGTGTGGTACTTGGCTGATGGATGGAGTCAGCCCACCTCAGTGTGTTGTTCATAATTTAAGCCTCTAAGGTTTGTTTTCTTTGTATTCAGTTGAAAAAGGATTGAATATATAGCAACAATACAGGGACAAGATAATTTTTCTGTGAGTTCATCTTAGGTTTGATAAGATTCAAAGCTAATGCTGTTTAATGCACATAGGTACAATTAACGTGGATTGAAATGGCTACAAATTCACAGTTTCTTTCTCTGTCTCATGGAAGGGTGTTTTGCTGTTTTGAAACATTATATTCACTTCCTTACCTCTTAACATGCTACAGTACAAGATATACTAAAAATTTTAAAAGAAGGAAGCAGAAAGCCTGTCCCACTTCTTTAATACCATAAGAAGAGGAACTCAGTCACTCAGAGTTAGCTTACCATGCTGGCTAATTAGATGTGCTGGCTGATGTGAAAACAATTTAAATATAGGTTCTAAATGGGTTCTGCTATTAAGAAAACACATTTCATCTTCTAGGAGAGTTTTTTCAAGATCATTCTACTGTTCAGAACTATTTAAACTGTGTCTTTGCTGTATCTGAACTGTGTCTTTACTACTCCAGCTTTTAACATAAGTCTCCTGTGCTTTACTATCTCGTTTCTGTGGTTTTAGTAGTTCCTACTATTTCTACTCTTCAAAGACCATTGCTATGGACAAAAGTTACTGTATGCAAAAAGACTGTTTTTTGATTGCAGAATGAGTGCAAAATACATTATGATCAGCATTTTATTTAATGGTGCAGGCATAGTAGTAGTGTGAGATTGCAAAAATGAGCAGATATTAATTGTCAGACAAATTCATAATTGCTCAACATCACTTCTCAACAAGAAGGAAAGTTTAGGGGAAAAACAGTCTCTGTGAAATAAATGTTGTACACATACATTTTGAATCTGTCAACTGAATTAATTTATACCAGCTCTGTAATATGCATAATATTTTGTTCATCTCTTAGGCTGAAGATTCGGTGACGTATAATGATGAAGCTGCAGCATGTGGGTCGCTTGCTGTGGTTGTAATATCTCACCTACCCAGAGATGCTGCCATTGAATGGCATGTTGTTGCGGTAGTTGATGAACCACTCCAAAGAAAACATTTTGCAATGAAGATGCTGTCAGAAGGCTTCCAAATTGAGTGTGAATCTGTAGAGTCTAGTTCTGCATCTTGTGCATCAATCTCTGTACGTCTGAGCTGGGTTTCACCATCCGCTTCTCAGCTTGATTTAGATGGACTTCTTCATGACTTAGTGGCTATGTTCAGACAAGCTGTGGAGAAACTTTCGGAAGACTGCACTGCAAGTCCTTTGTCTTTTAGAGCTTTCTTCAAAGAGGATGTCTTTGATACTGAAACATTACAAACAGGTAAGACTTAAATAGTGACAGAAACCAAGCGTTAATACAAGTGTCAGGTAAGTTTTGTTTACTTCTACATAAGATTTCGTTGGAGTAAGACATTCTAGAAGTGCATTTCAAGGATAAGTAGCCAAGAAGATCAATAGCATCCTGGCTTGTGTCAGAAATCGCGTTGCCAGCAGGAGCAGGGAAGTGATTGTTCCTCTATACTCAGCACTGGTGAGGCTCCACCTTGAATACTGCATACACTTTTAGGCCACTCACTACAAGAAAGACATTGAGGTGGTGGAGGTCAACAAAGCTGGTGAAGGGTCTAGACAACAAGTCTTACAAGGAGCAGCTGAAGGAACTGGAGTTGTTTAGTCTGGAGTAAAGGAGGCTCAGGGGAGATCTCACTCTCTACAACTACCTGAAAGGAGGTTGTAGTGAGGTGGAGGTCAGTCTCTTCTGGCAAGTAACAAGAAACAGGACAAGAGGAAACGACTTCCTGTTGCACTAGGAAGGTTTTGGTTAAATATTAGGAAAAATTTATTCACAGAAAAGGGTATCAAACACTGAAACAGGCTGCCCAGGGAAGTGGTAGAGTCACCATCCCTGGAGGTGTTTGAAAGACATGTAGACGTGGTGCTTAGGGACATGGTTTAGTGGTGGACATGGCAGTGTTAGGTTAACAGTTGGACTCAATGATCTTAAGGGTCTTTTCCAAAGTAAGTGATCCTGTGATTGTATGTTTAAGATGTTTGTTCTTTTTCTGGTTACCAGACATGCTTCTCATATAGAAAGGCTCTATTCTTGGGCATTTTGAAGTCCACACAGAACCCCAAATTACTTGTTCTGATCTCACACCTCAAGGTTGGCATCTGACTTTGAGTAGGAGGTTGGATTAGATGGTCTTGCTCTAATCTGAGTTATTCTGTGATTCTGTGAAAGAGAAGTTGCTGAGAAAACCATCCACTTCAGTTGAACATAGGGGAAATGATTCTTTTGCACAAGTATTTGAACAGTTGTCTGTTTGGTAGTCTGTTCTTTCATTATCTGGGACTGGTTCAAATAGTCAAATTCTGTGTGCTATCAGGCACCCTTTTGAGAACAAATAGAGAAATATTAGTTTTAAAACAAGGAAATTGTGCTGTATCCTCTAGATGAGATTGTGTCCATTTTCAAGCATGGTCTGATTTCTTACCAATATATTTAAACAGAACTTTCTAACCAAACAGATTTACTGGGTTTTTCTTCCAGTGTTTATTTTTTCAAAATCTCACTGCTTTACCAAGTAAAGAGAATATAGAACAACAGATACACTGTTGTAACTATACTTTATTTATGTTGTACATCTGTATTTCGGGCTATAGTCAGTTTGGGACAACTAACATTATGCAATAGCACAAAAGCTTATTTTATCTGTCAGGCCCTCAAAACTGGTAGACCATACTTGTATTGAAATCATTAAGAGCTTTGTTACCAATTTGAGAAGGAACAAAATCAGATCCTAAGTCTATATTTATCTCAAACGTGCATGCACTTTAGAAGTCCTTGCAGACCACAAATGATCCATATTAATTAGCTGACATAAATGTTAGCCCTCAAATATTCTACTGTCCTATTTTTTTTCCTTAACCTGCAGCAGTTTTTGAAGAAAATTCAACTTGACAATGTTTAATAGATTTAAAGTACAGGAATTGAAAGCTATAAAAATGTGGCATAGAATAAGCATACTTAATCCAGGAAGCAAGGCATGAACATGTAGTAAAAACAACAACATTCTGTCAGACTATATCTTGTTTAACAGCTAACAGAAAACCTGGTAAAACATGTTCCTGGCATGGGATTAACATTAACATTTTGTTTCCTGTCTGATATTTCTCAGGCCATAGAATCCTTCCAAATACACTTCATTTGCTTTATTAAATATATTGATCAATATAATGTATAAATTGTGCATATAATAATTTTATTCAATTCCATTCCATTCATGTTATGTTGCCAATGGCGTTAGACATAGAAAGATTTGTTGTGATTGTCATATATTGATTCTGGTTGTGCTCAGATTCTGCACTGTCATAATCATTCCTGTCATTGTAGCAATTTTATCATTATATCCACTAGTATGAAATATATTTTTACAAATTTGTAGAATATATAAAATTTACAAGTAGCAGTAATTCATGGATGAAGAATTTTAAAATAACTTTTCTACTTAGCAAAAATTTTCAGAAAGTTCATGTAGAAGAAATATGCTATATATTTGAAAATAATATCTCAACTTAAAATAGTTGTGGCTGAAGTGTGTTTTACTGATAGTTTCAATCTGATATAGGACTCTATACTCTTTCTTATTCAAAATCAGAAGACTAATTTTTAACATATTGATAAGACACAGGGACATATTTAAGTGTTATGCTAGTATGTGTCCTTGTGGCCTTGAAAGGCATGTTGTCTCCAGTGAAGCCTCCTCAGCTTTCCAAATGGTGCAGCATATGACTGAACTGTGTCCTTGACTGTCTTTTGTACTATTATAATAATTATACTTCTCTTAATTTAAAATGTACTCATATATAAACTCTCAGTTTAAAAAGCACTGTATGAAGTCTCCGAGATGTTCCCATTCATTTCAGTATCACCCAGACAACATCCATAAGCAAGCTGACATTGCCTGTGTTTTATCTTCTCAGGTAGTATTGGCAATCTTTAGCATTGGCTGGCAGAACTACTGCAGACGTGCGTGTCCTTTAGTGTGCTTCTCAGATGTAATATACCTGAATTAATATCGGATTTTTCTTTGAATCCCATGATATTTTAACCTGCCTATAACACCAGCCCAAGGTGCTAGAGGTTAAGTTCTGATGACCACAGCTTCTTCCAGTTTCTCATAGTGTATTCCTGTTTTCCTCTTGAGCTTTAAGGTGTCCTCATGTTTCAGCTACTACAACCCATTAACTTGTCAGCCTCCTTCATAAATCTGGATTCAGAACCAAGGAAGAAAAAAAGACATGTTTGACATTACTTGGAAGTTTAATTCATTACCTGCATAAAATTTGACACATAATATTATATTTGGGCAAGTTCAGATAAGCTTGTTCTGCTTATAGAATGAATCTGAATGTGGCAAGTCACAAGAGAGAGCAGTACTGGCTTCAAAAATAGGACTGGTTTGTGTCTTGTCAGCTCTGAGCATGGCCAAAACTTGTGCATATATGTCTCTGTAGGCTTGACCTAAGATATTTTGAGTATTTGGATGTCTCTGTGGTGATTTCTGTTACCTCCAAAGGTTACTTTCTGTTGCAGATTATGTCTAGGTGAGTATCAGAATTTACCTAGGCTACTGATCAGATAGCTGGTAAAACTGTCTCTCAGCACAGAATAGCATTTTACTAGGACACAGGATAAAACAGAAATGTACTGATCTTGGCGTGAAAATCTCCAGGCCTAATACACAGACTTGGAAAAAATATTGTTGCTGCCAGAACACAAATGATATTGAGAAAGCAGTTCTTCAGTTGCTGTTTACTAATTCAGCTCAGGTAGTCCTAATTGCTAACCATCTGTATGATGATCCATTAGTGACATGTCTGATCTTCGACATGTGTTAGACATTGTTAATCCCAAAAATACGTCTGTCCTTTTGGAGCCTTCAACTACCATCAGATGCATTGTCTGCTGAGGAAAGATAATATTAGTAACATAGCAGGGGATGCTAGACACTGGTATTCAAATATTTTTAATATGAAATGCATCAGACAGATGTGTCTTTAATGGAAAAGACAGAAAATTCAGAAATCAAGAGAGGTGACTGAGGAGATAACAGTTCCAGTCTTAGTGGATTTCAGATGGACTTCCATCATGTCAAGATTAGCAAATAGTCTTCAATCATTCTTGTAAGGTCTTGTATTGCAATGTATTGTCTCCTTTAGCAAAAGCATGGAAAAGAAATAAAGGTACTTTCTTCTGATTAGAACTTAAAATCATTGGAGTGAAGGGGGGAAATACTGCCACAGATCTCAGATAAGCTTCTTATTAGATGAGTGCTTTTTTGATGCAAAGAAATTGTCATTTATTTAAAACTGTTCAAATAAAATAGAGAAATTTGTTTGTACCTGATGCAGTAACGTGCGAACCAGGAATCTGTATACTCTGTATATTGTAACAGGTTATTGGAAATTATTATAGCTGGTGTTACTGATGTCAAAAGAAGCTAAAGGTTTGTAATGCAAATTTGAGACAGATAGCTTTCTGTCATCCTAAGACCAGATGTAAAATTTTATTGAACGAAGTGTAGTACTGATGGTGAACTTCTCAGAGGCAATCCTTCATAACACATGAGAGCATTATGGGCACCGTGCTGAGACCACAGTACGTGCTAGAAGTAGAAGGATTAGATTAAGCTGACATATATACTTAGTAAGATGCTGTTAAGCCTTTAGAAGTCTTTAACATAAATTTGACTGTTTCTTTCTTATTCTCATTTAAATATGCATTAATATAAACGTGTCAGGATGATTTGCTATACCATCCAGTTCAATAGATTATACTTCAGTATGGGAAAGATGAATGTTCGTAAGTCATCCCATTATGATTTCACAAACCTTGTTCACAGGATGTATGCAAAATATTTTTGAATATTTATTAGGGAGTAGAAAAGGTCCTGCATTCACCAGAACATCATATTACATAACCCCTTTTTAATACTATAGAAAAAAATGAAGTGGGAATGTGAAAAGGCAAGAGAGAACAGGAATAGAAAGACAGTCTGGTAGCACTACTAAAATGAATATGTAATTAGTTTTAAATGTGGTTCTACTCTGTAAATGGTTAGGACTAAAAGGCTCTCAGTACTTATGTGTTTATCAAGTTTCAATGAGACTGTCATTTAAAAAATATTCTAATATGAGTTAAGTATAGTTCAACTGGACTGTAGAAAACCTTACTTGAAATGGGACTGTTCCTTCTGTTAAAAAAGAAGTCTTAGTGATTAGGGACTCAGGAGTCCTTGCAATGACATAGGAACACCT